TGCAAGACTCATGCATAAGCCATACATCCCGATAAGTCTTCAACCAAGACCCATCACATACTCGTCTCCAAGTATAACAACTCATAATGCTCCACCTGCATCACAAGCCCCGGGCAAGCTCCACCTTAAGGCCAACACACCTACACCAGGAGCTCCCCAACTTCGCCCCTCAGGGCCTACTACATCACGTAGTAATCAATATTTAACAAGTCTAAGCAATGTTTAAACTTGCTAAACGGAACAGGCTTAGTGAAGAAATCAGCCGGGTTGTCAGCAGTCCCAATCTTCTTCACCTTAATCCTCTTGTCAGTACGTAAGAAATGATACCTGACATCAATGTGCTTCGTCCGATCATGGTGTACTTGATCTTTAGCTAAGCAAATCGCACTTAGACTATCACAATACACTGTAGCAAAATCCTGTGCAATACCCAGTTCACCTACTAGGCCTTTGAGCCAAATAGACTCCTTAGCTGCAGAAGTTAAAGCCATATACTCAGCTTCAGTAGTTGACAACGTAACAGATGACTGCAATGTAGACTTCCAACTAACCACAGAACCACCCAAAGTGAACACATAACCAGTCACAGACCTCCTGGTATCCACATCAGCTGCATAATCAGAATCACTGTACCCAGTGACCAAGCATTCCTTATCATTCCCGTACACAAGACCAATATCAGCTGTCCCTCTCAGGTAGCGAAAAATCCTTTTCACCCCTTGCCAGTGTTCCCTCCCAGGTCGAGCCATAAACCTGCTTACAACACTAACGGCATGCGCAATATCCGGCCTAGTACAGACCATAGCATACATCAAACAACCAACCGCATTTGCATATGGAACTCTAGACATATAAGACAACTCCTCCTCTGATTGAGGTGACATAGACAAAGACAACTTACAACTAACAGTAGTTGGCGTACTTATAGGCTTCGATTTTTCCATCCCAAAACGAGACAAAATCTTTTCAATGTAGCTTTTCTGAGTCAAGAAAAGCTTACCTCTAGCCCGATCCCTGTAGATCTCCATACCCAAAATCTTCCTAGCTGCACCCAAGTCTTTCATGTCAAACTCCGAGTTAAGCATCTCCTTTAATCTAGCAATATCAGATTTATTCTTTGTGGCAACCAACATGTCATCAACATATAACAAAAGATAAATCATGGAACCATTATCCAGCTTACTATGATACACACAGCAATCATATGAATTCCTGTCAAAACCTTGTGAAACCATAAAAGAATCAAACCTTTTGTACCACTGTCGGGGGGATTGCTTAAGTCCATACAATGACTTTAGCAATCTGCAGGCATAGTGTTCCTTTCCAGGAACTTCGAATCCTTCGGGCTGCTTCATCAGAATCTCCTCCTCCAAATCGCCATGAAGGAAAGCCGTTTTAACATCCAACTGCTCCAGCTCAAGATCAAAATGTGCTACAATTGACAATAACACACGGATAGAAGTATGTCGAACCACAGGTGAGAATATCTCAACAAAATCAACCCCTTCTACCTGACTGAACCCCTTAGCAACTAGCCTAGCCTTAAAACGTATTTGCTCAGTTTCCGACAACCCTTCTTTCTTCTTGTAAATCCATTTACAACCCACAAGCTTCCTCCCTTCCGGTACTTTTACCAGTTCCCACACTCTGTTCTTGTAAAGAGACTGCATCTCTTCACCCATTGCGGCAAGCCATTGCGCAGACTCACTACAACTAATTGCTTGTTTATATGTGGCAGGTTCAAATGACTCTACATCATCAGCTACACTCAATGCATAACCTGTCATCGCATCAACACAGCAATTTCTTCCCTCCATCTCTTCAATCAATCTAACAGGCTTCTTGATAACTCGTTTAGGCATCTCAAGAATGGTGTCAGGTTGACTAGATGACCCCTGATTAGATTGCTCCACCTCATCCCCAGAGTTAGAATGAGTAGGAGTAATCTCAGGTTCAGGAGTACCCGGCACTGGAACATCAGCATCATCATCAATATATTGTACCCGAGGTAAATCAGCAATGGTAGACTGATGTACCTCAAGTACCCCATCTGTCTGTAATAAATTGTCTCCTTCCCTTCTCAAATCTGAAATCTCTGCATTTTTAATTGAATACATGGTGTTTTCATCGAAAGTAACATCCCTACTAAGAATGACCCGACCCTCCGAAGGTGAAAAAATTCTAAACCCCTTCACACCATCCCCGTACCCAACAAAACACCCCTTCTTGGCTCGTGGATCCAGCTTACCCTCAATAACATGATAATAAGCAACACAACCAAAAATCTTCAAATTCGAAAAATTAGGCAACTTACCACTCCAGATCTCAAACGGAATCTTGGAATCAATTCCAGAATGAGGACCCCTATTAATGACATAACAAGCTGTTAACACAGCTTCACTCCAGTACCTCCTCCCAAGCCCTGCATTAGAGAGCATGCATCGAACTCTCTCTAGCAGTGTCTGATTAACCCGTTCTGCTACACCGTTCTGCTGTGGTGTCTTCCTGACAGTATGATGCCGACCTATACCCTCATCTGCACAGAACTGATTAAACTCGTCTTTGCAAAACTCTAGCCCATTGTCCGTTCGTAGCTTCTTGATCTTCCTTCCTTGTCGATTTTCCACCAAAGCTTTCCATTGCTTGAAAACTTTGAAGGCCTCATCCTTTGACTTAAGCAACCTAAGCCATGTGTATCGGGACTTGTCATCAACAAATGACACAAAATAGTGGTAACCTCCCATACCTTCAACTCTAGATGGACCCCAGCAATCTGAATGGATGTAATCGAGCACTGCATCAGTAATGTGAGCACCCTTGCTGAACTTTGACCTGTGTTTCTTACCAAACACACAATGCTCACAAAATTCAAGGTTGGCAACCTTGACCCCGGATAGAAGACCCCTCTTGGACAATAGCTGCATCCCCTTCTCCCCCATATGACCAAGCCTCATGTGCCAAATCTTAGTCATCTCCTGGTGAGATACAGATGCGCAAACCGCAGAACTAGGCAGTGTAAAACCCTCAAAAACATAGAGGGTGTTCCTTTTGATACCCTTAAGTACCAACTCAGAACCTCTGAAAATACACAACTCCCCATCTGAAAACACACCATTGTACCCCAAGTCATCCAGGGTACCCAATGAAATCAGATTCTTTCCTAAAGCAGGAACATGCCGTACATTAGTCAAAGTTAACCTCCGCCCATCAACAGTCCTCAACCTCATGGAACCAATACCTGTGACCTTACATGGAGCATTGTTACCGACTATAACCATGCCCCCATTGCGAGGTTCATATGTATCAAACCAATCTCGACGTGGACACATATGGAACGAACACCCTGAATCTAGAACCCAGTTATCAGATAAATCATCAGACCTAGCAGAACTGACTAATGCTAAATCTTCCTCTGAATTATAGCTCTCATTCGGTTTCTCTTCAACTACAGCAGCCTGGGACTTGTTTTTCCTCACCGGACAATTATTCCTAAAGTGACCCGGTTCTTTACAGTAATAACATGTTTTAGTAGTAGTTTTACTAGATCCATCCTTGCCGTTTCCAGCACCCGACCCAGCATTGTTCCCCTTGTTAAACCCCTTATTCTTTTTAGACTTTCCGGACTTAACAAACAACCCACTACCATTATCCCCATTATCACTCGTAGCTTTCATTCTGAGTTCCCTAGTATGAAGTGCTGCCTTCACTTCTTCTAAGGTTATAGAATCCTTACCAACAACAAAAGACTCTACAAAATTCTCAAAGCTAGACGGTAGAGATACAAGTAAAATCAACGCAGCATCCTCATCATCAATTTTAACATCTAAATTACGTAAATCAAGCAAAATAGAGTTAAGTTTTTCTAGATGTTCCCGTAAGGAAGTACCTGACTGCATCCGGAGGCTAAACAACCGCTGTTTCAGTAATAATTTGTTGGTCAACGACTTAGTCATATACAATGACTCCAGCTTCAGCCACAATCCAGCCGCCGTTTCCTGATCAGCCACCTCCGTGATGATTTGATCATCAAGACTAAGTAATATGGTAGAGTGTGCCTTCTCTTCCATAACTTCTAACTGCGAGTCAGTCGGTCCGTCTCCTGACTCCGAAGTAGTACTCTTTGGAGCCAACGGACGCCATATCTGTTGTTGTTTTAACAGAGCCTTCATCTTAATTTGCCATAGCCCGAAACTATTTTTCCCGGTAAACTTCTCAATTCTTATTGTTGAATCTCCTGCCATTGTTATCTTCAAGAAACTCTCCAAGGATTGAACCTGAGCTCTGATACCAATTGTTGTGCGACAGCGGAAGCAAAGGTCGTAAACAAACAAGAAAACAATAAAGAAATTCAATGCAAACAATAAGAACAACACCAAGAATTTACGTGGTTCACTATCGATGTGATAGCTACGTCCACGGGCACCGAGATCGAATGATTTCACTATAAACTGGCAAAGATTACAAAGATTACAATGAAGAACTTAATCACTCAAAGTATTCTCTCTCTTGTGTTTCTCTCTCCGTTTCCCTAATAATGATAATAGGAAGTTTATATAGTAGTGATTCCTAATTAAGATATACTTAGGTTACAATATCACAATATGATAAATATTAAATTCGTAATCGCTGAAAAAACCCAGATCGCCCGGTCGGGCGAAGGCCCGCCCGATCGGGCGCGAGAACACGTCTTTTCCAACAACCGAAGTACTCCAAAAAACCCCTTCCGCCCGGCCCGATCGGGCAATGTCCGCCCGATCGGGCGAAGGCTCGCCCGGTCGGGCGAAAGCTCGCCCGGTCGGGCGCGCGAGAGCAGCTTCTTCAACGAATTTGCCAGGCACCTCTTCTTTTTTCCGCCCGGTCAGACCGGGTAATGTCCGCCCGATCGGGCGGACAAAGCAACGAAGTACGAGTCACCTAATACTTATCAACACCAAGATCAAAATAGTAGTAGTAGTGGTAGGGAAAAGTATGTATTAAGCTGTACCGGTAATTCGAGTTTAATGAGTCAATATTTGAATGATCTGAGGCCAACTAAGAAGAAGTCTAGGTGTTCGAAAAGGCAGTCACCTGTAACAATATTGAATGCTGATGTATCGAATTTTCGAGCTTTGGTGCAGCAGCTAACAGGCCGCCCTAGCGAGCCTACTAGGCTCAGGGCGAAGAAAGGTCCGCTTACCATTAATTTCAGGCAAGCAAAAGAGGTTGATGATCCAAGAGTTATGTTTCCGTTCGGGTTCAATAGTAGCAAGTACCATCAGCAGCCTATACATGTTCATCATAAGCAAGAAGGTTTTTCCGAACGTCGTGTAGGTGATCATGTGATGTTGTTGAGCAATGAGCGAAGCAGTCAGACATCAATTTCAACAGTTATTGATCAACCTAGGATGAATATGGAGGAGTTTGATGATATCGATATCGATATCGATGTCGATAAGTGTTTAGAAGAGCTAGCTAGCATAGAAGGGAGTGGCTACCACCACCAATGTTGACGATAGTGATGTATTAAGATCGCATAAAGGCTCTTTATTTCTTTTATCTTTTAATTGGTTCACTCTTTAATACTTTTTTATTGTTGTAATAGACTTGTTTTCTCTATTAATACATCTGAGATTCTGAGTGTGATTTATGTAAGTGTATTTTGGGGATTCTTTATAGTAAAGTCTGTAAAAATTATAGGTTCAATTCCTCATCATACTAAAATCATATTTCAATAAACATTGCACTAATAGTTTCATGACTCGTTTGGCAAACAATAATAAATAGTAGTAAGGGATCCATATGACCTTTTATTTCAATGTACTCTATATTTTTTTTTAATGGTAACGAAAAGACTTAGACCAAACCTTAATCCTTATGATTTTTCTAGTCCAATATTTGTAGGCCAAATACATGGGAATAGAGGAGAGGGTAGGGGAATCCCTATCCCTAAGTACCCTCACTTGGTAGGATTTGAATCCCAGACTCTCTAAAATCTAAGGTAAGAACCATACCATGTGGCTAACATACACTTTGTTGCTATTGTACTCTATATATGGTTGTTAAGGTAAATATTGCTCTTTACCAACAAGTTAAAAACTCTATCTTGTCTAGAGTATTAGGGGGCTTCCTCTCGAGTTACCGATTTCAAAGATTGATAACCTTGCTAATGTAAAACAAAACAATAAGGAAGCTTTTACAAAGGAAGTAAACAAGTTAGATTGCTCAAAGAAACGAGTAGATAAACATATGACGAAAGAAATGTATTCCATTAATTAAAAGATAGAGTCAGGTCTACAATTGTACAAGTTGAAGGAGAGGTTACCTCCATGTTCATACAATTGGAAAAGACGAATAATCTTTAATACATGCTATGTGCTAAACTATACTATCGATTGGCTACAAGCCAAGGGAAACTACTAAAGCTAAGAAGAAAGCTTAAAAGCTAGAAATGAAATGCTTGTTGTTGATTGATTTGCTGATGCCCTTTCTTTCTATCCTTGCACTTCTATTTATAGGTAAAATGGAGTGGTTATGGTTGACTCCCATAACTGTTGTACGATTATGCTTCTTGGCGCCAACACTATTTCGAAAATTAAAATTACCCATTAGCCTCCTAATTTGGTCCACCTGTTGGGCCTCTGCGTAATATCAGCCCAACTGCTGTTATGTTTATCAAACTAGCCCAAAGACCTTTCACTAACTCTAGAAACTTCTCAATCAACTTGGTCAAAGTCAAGAAAGTCAAATAAAAAGTCAAAAATCTGATTTTTAGGTGTAACAAATGCCCCCCTAATTGGATGGTTGATTGGGTTTGAGACCAACCAAATTATGACTTTTCGAACATAAATATAAAGCATTGTGTATGTCTAACTCTGCAAATATCAAGCACAAAATATAAACATTACTTAATATTTATAGAGATGAAATAATTATAAAATAAGAGCATTTCAAAACTTATAAGGTTAAATATATATAGCGATATACTTATTGAGATGCCTCTTAATATCTAGGATCATCTTGGAGCATCGCTAGTGCCCTCTTCATAATAGGATCTTTTAGATAGTCTTCGAAATCCGCATCCTCAATAGGACTCATTAGGCTCAAGTCTACAACATTGCGATAGGCGATTGAATTACCCCATCGCTAATAGGCGCACCAATATTTGAGGACATGGACATCTCCTTTTGTCCTTCTAGTCACCTTAACGTGGTAATGGGTACCACAATGGACTAGCAGCATCGTCATGATCAACCTGTCGCATGTAGGGGGATGAACAACCCTCACTTCTCGTGCCCAATACTTGCATACTAATGCATCATTTGCCTTGTCATCGTCTTCCTCAAGCTTAGGCAAGATGTGATTTATGAGAAGATCAGCATCTGGACCAACAGTGAAAACATTGGCGATCACAGGGCCTGCAGGGTCTCTTAAAATTATTGGTCGCTTACCCCGTCTCTTGTTACCTCTTCTGTTGAGCATTCCCCTCATCCTCTTTCCGTAGTTTTGAACCCATTAGGATATCTATCGACAACCAAATGATGATTTGGACAAACGCCAGGATATTTCATGGAACCATGTTTCTCCATAAGATATTCGACACTGTTCCTTGGCAAAAAAAACTGGCCATGGAGCAATTGCCTCGTTCTGTGCTTAATCATGATCTTCTTGTAACTCCTCATTATCTTGTGGAATTTCTTCTAGAATTATTTCTTCCGCCACTGGAATATTTTTTGTGTGAGTATCTCAAGAAAGGGAACAAACTCTGATAGATTACTTTAGAGAAAGAAATAAAATTGGCTTAATGAAGAAGGAAAATTTTAAGCGAATTGACTACTCGTATTTATAATCACTTTTGTGTCACTCCCTTGACGGTTAAAATTCTCCGTTACTTCAGTATATCGTGGTAAAACCACGTAACTCTCCAGCTTCTTGAAAGTCGTTTATCCAAAAGTCATATTAAGGGCAATGAATTTGGAACTAAACCGTCACGGAAATTACATAGTAACTTCCACTTTCAAGTTAATAATTTTACTGATCATTTAATTTTTATTGGGAAATTAGAAGTGTCTTTTCACTTAAATGTCAATAAATACGGTTGTCTGTCACTTGGTAAATCGTGAAATTAATTATAATTACGACCCATATATTTTAATTTCTAGGAAATAAAAAATATATTTCTATGGGTACAATTATGACAAATCAATTGCATCGCTTGATTAAAAGAACAAAATATATATAATTTGTATTAATCATTTAATTTAAACATACCCAAGATTAGACATAAATAGAAATTAAAATTTCTAAAGAGTAAAGACATGATAAAAAACATATTTAAGTACTTAGTTTTTGAAGAACTAAGAACATGTAACACATCATGTTTGAGTACTTAACTTCTTAACCAAAAGTTAGTTCAATTGGACAAAAGAAATCGAACCGAGCAAACCCTAGCCTTTGATCAATTTGAAGTGTGATTGGGGCTTTTGGGACATTTGTGTGCTAGCACGTACATATCAGAGGATAAATCAAAGATGTCTCCTTGCTCTATTATCATCATCCTTCCCAAGTTTCTTGGTGGAGACCTCTTTGCTTTCCTTTGTCACCTTTTCTTTGAAGGTTCACCTTCATCTCTCCTGCGCTTGTGGCTTTTCTTCCTCTTCACTGGCTCATCTCTTAAAACCAAATCAGGGTTGAAGCCAAAACATGCATTGCCAAATCTAGCTTGGCGATGGAACTCAACATCGATCTTCTGCCTTCTTAGCATCCTTCTCCATTGCATCCCACCTCTCTAAAGCTAACACCTTTAGCTCTTGGCTGTCCTCATCTGAGCAAAGCTTCTCTATATTCCATTGATAGTTAATCTATGATTAGATTAACTTTTGATGTCCTTCCCTTGGGATGAGACTCAACTGTGCTAGAGGTTGGACTTTCCATATCTAAGGTGAAAGAAAGATTTTTAGGACGATTTGAAGTGAATATTCAGACAAAAGATTTTTGTTGAGAAAGAAGATACACCTTGCGTGTTTTAAGTAAAAAAGTGATTTAATGATCTTAACCTATATTTATAAGTTGACATAAATGTACTGATCACTTTTTAGATTATATAATTTTTCGGAAATTACCTAGCAATTACCTTTTAGAAAGCTATCAAAAATGTTCTCTTACTTTTGTCTCTTGATTTCCAATTATCAAATCGAGCCCTAAAACGCTGCGTTTATGGTTGTGCAACTCAATTTCAATTGGGAATCAATTTCCTTTTTTTAAGCAGACCCTGCCAAACCATTTGTATCATTTTGTGTCTGAACGAAATCAAATAGCACAATTTCACTAACTCTCTAACGCTTGGAAAACTGTAAAAACCTTCAAGGCATCCTTCACCCTATCCTATCACTAATTCACTCTATGATCTTCCAAACTTTCAATCCTCCAATCTTTGAACTTTGCGAAGTGCGAAATGACTTCTCTTCCTTTGCAAGAAGTGCTCAAATAATTTCTAGTAAAAGATTATTCGATTGAGGCTCATAAATTGTGTGAGTTGATAAGAAAATATCCCCAGAACTTCAGATCTGACTTCCTACAACATATTTCATCTTCGACCACCGAAGAAGGTATTCTGAAAGACACAACCTCAATAGGGACAACATTTCACTTCGACCTTTCATCTCCTGATGCTCTGCAAGATTTCCGAAAGGAAATTCAGCCTAAGTTAACCAAGTGTATCCTTGGTAAAGGTTCACCTCGCCCTGCTGCATTCAATAAATTGCATCCAAACGGAAATTGGGTTTTAAGCTAGAATCCAATTAAAGGTTGGGTACAAGACCTGACAGCCAGGGGTTGGTTTATGCGGCTTTCCAAATTCCACTCCTCATGGGAGAAGAAGAGAATTTTCGGTTTCCTCAGACTGGCGACATATGGAAAAATTCCATTCAACGGATCGTTGACATGTGCCCTTATATCGCTCTGGGACCCCGTGTTAAACTGTTTCATCTTGCGCCAAGGTTGCATGATTGTCGCTCTTGCTGATATGGCCTTCCTTATTGGTCTATCACCTTATGATGATAAAGGTCAACAAATAAGAGTGTTCAGGGCAATTGAAGGTGCTGGACCCTTATATAATAGAAGTCACAACCTTCTGAAGCAAATGTTGGCAACGTCCAAAAGCAGCAAGATTGGCTTGAATGCCTATGAATTAAAGTATATCTATGATGTCAAAGTTAAGTAAAGCATGTTTGTTTTTTATTAATCACCTAGAGAGTGATTAAAGTTTTAAAAAAATTATTTTAAGTGTTATGTGAATTTAAAGTAAGTCAAGATTAATTAATTAAAAGGGCATGACGCTTGTGGAAGGATCCCTACAAGTATTAAGTACGGGGGAGTCTAATGTTTTAATGCTTAGTCTCCTAATTGTAGTGTAAGACGTTGCACTACTGTTTTTAGTGGAATCCCCAAGGTTTTTGTGGTATGTGGAGGCGGAGAGCATATACCGTTTTCTCGGAAAGTTGATCCCTTTCCT